CTCATACAACTACACTAGCAATTGATGGTTTTGATTTTTGTGTTTCCTTAAACAAAATTGATAAATTATCGGGTTTGATGATAATTACTTGGGGCACGCCTGACGGCGAAGGTGTGAGGTGAAGTGGCGAACGGCAGAACGAGTTTAGGTGAAGGAGGCGATCCGAATTTCTGAAGTGATGAACAATTAAACTCCATTATCGGTCCTAATATCTTATATGTTATATGATATCGGTCCCTTCTAAAAAAAAATAATAATAATAATAATTAAGATTTAAGACAAATTAAATAAAAACATTTAGTTTGTTAACTTAATTTATTATTTTATTTAACTAATATATATACCTATTCAAAAGCCTAATCCCAAGTATTTTATTTTTTTTATATAAATATATTGTTATTGGTTCGGTTCAGTTAAATACCGACATTTATGGGTTCAGAACTAATACCGAACCGATAACATTTCGATAACCGATTTTTAATTACCGTTACACATGAGTCGGTTCGATTTTTGGTTTTTGGTCAAAAAATACCGGCCCTAGATTATTGGCCAAAGTACACATCCACGTGTTAATTTCACAGCACTGTCAATTAAACGAGCTTAAACTTTTAAACACAGATTTCTCGCCGCATTAAACTTAAAACCCAAAATTACGATACAATAAAAAGAAAGGAAAATTGCTCTGATATCTTAACTGATTCTTCCCGAAATCAGGTCGCACATTTTGAAAATAAAAGAGAGCGATTTCAAATCGATTTCGAGAGAGAATACATAGAAGAAAAATGAAGAAATCATATTGAGAGAGAAATTTATGAATCTCGAGTTCGGGATTAAAAAACCACAGACAACAAAAAATCACAAATAAACCAACAAAAAACTACAGATAAACCACATGATAAATAAAAAAAAACCACAAATAAACCGCAAATAAACCAACAAAAAAACACATATAAACCAACAAAAGACCACAGATAAACCAACAAAAAACCACAGATAAACCCCAGATAAACCCGAACTCAAGATACGATCAAAATTTCAATCATGGGTAATAATTTTAGAGCCTCTTTCAAATACCAAAAGAAAATTGAACATAAATTAAAAACAAATCACAGTAATTCATAGATCCAAAGATCAATCAATGAAATTCCTACAACAAAAGAAAAAAAAATTACTCAACCCTAAATTACCAAACCACAAATTTAATCTCAAGGTTGTTACATGTTGAGCATCAAGGCGGCGGGCCACACCGACAGAGGGAGTAAGGAGTCGGACATAGATCTCGAATCGAAGGTGAGGTTGGCGACGATTAGGATAGCACTAAGGATGCAAGCCTCCCGCCGGTGGTGCGTGGTGAAGGTGGAGAAACTCTTGTGATCTGTGGACAAATCTTCAACAAGTCGGACCTTATGACGTGCGTTGTCGACGATGAGCGTGTTTCCGTTTCTTCGACTCTGCCAAAAATAAATGGGTTTAAGAGATGAATAATAGATGTAATTTTAATAGTTATAAAGACTGACTTAAGAGGGCTTGATGTGATTATTTTTTTATATCATAAAATAGGCAATCTCGAAAGTTGAGGCCGTAACCTTGGTAATTATTATCTCTAGATTATTCGCTTCTACTACGAAATGGGCCTTGTTATTGTCAGCTCAATACAATTTCCTCTCAGCTAGCCCAAGTTCCACTCAGCTGGTCAGCTGCTTTTCGTCCCCCACATTTCTCTCTTTAATAGCCGATTTTAGGGTTTCTGATCGATTTTCCAAATCAATTTGTCGATAAAAAGCGATGACAACAGGGTTTTTGGGCGTAGAGAAGAAGATGTCTGATGGAGCGGATCAAGCACGGGGTCCGATATTCAGAGACATCAGAAGATATTACTGCGAGTACTGTGGGACTTGTCGATCGAAGAAATCCTTAATCGCTCGTCACATGTTCACGGAGCACGAGGTATGGTGTTCTGTTCTCTACGTTGGTAATTATGTATATTGTTGATGAGATTTTAGGGATTTCGAGTTTCGAATTTGGGAAGCAGATGGTTTGGGTTGTTGTGACGTAAATTTTTTTATGTTTGTATGGTGTTTGTTGTTGTGTGATCTTGTTTGTTGCTTATGGGCTTTTCCTAAATTGAAGGAGAAAGTGAGGGAAAAGGCGGGAAATGTAGAAGAAGGGCATGGGAAAAGGCTGAATATTTGTAATGAGTGCGGGGCAAGTTTCAGGAAGCCTGCTTATCTGAAGCAGCATATGCAGAGTCATTCTCTTGAGGTCGATTTTCAGCGGTTGCTTGTTCTTTTCACTGTACTTTTCATATCGTGTATTGATAACCTGTTTTGATTTCTTTTTGTTTCAAGTTATATAATGTGTATCCATATGCTTCAATTCGATGCGGATTTAGGCGCTCGTTTGTTCTATATCTGCTTTTAGATGTAAATTTGTCTATGGTGGCAAACTTTACTTATATCATTATTGTGATGAAATACATGTGTGTTGGCTTGCGTCATTTTATTGGGAAAGTGGTTATTATGTTTGGTTGCATTGTGGAAGTTCTTGTCAGTTCCCGATATATACTGTGTTGAAATACCCATACTTATCCGTATAATGTGTTTATCTTAAAGTTTGCTTCATTGATTTTCCAAGCTTTCTTTGTGATTTTGTCTTTGCATATTTAGCCATTTCCTTTAACAAATTTGTTTTATTTTTCCAAGGCATGATTAGCTCTGTTATTTTTTCAATTGAAAACTTAAAAATCTTGCAGACTGAAATTAAGGACAGCATGATTTGTTGTTGGGCGTGAAGCATTGGATCCCAATTTAAAGAACTCCAAAATGCGCGAGGCACCAATTGCCTTGAATGGATCAGTATCAGGTGGGGGACTGCCTGAGAAGCTCCATCAAGTGAGCCTCAGTCACGCTTGGTAATCATTGAGGTTTGAAGTTTATTTAGTTTACTTCTATTTGAAAGGCAACATTTTATTTGTTCCAATCCTTTTCAAATACTAGTCATTTTTCTTTTCCTTAAAAGTGCACGTTCTATTACAGAGACCATTTGTCTGCTCGGTGGACGACTGTAACTCCAGCTACAGAAGGAAGGACCACCTTGCTAGACATATGCTTCAACATGAGGGAAAACTTTTCGAATGTCCTATTGAAGACTGCAACCACCGATTTGCATATCAGGGTAATATGAAACGGCATGTTAAAGAGTTCCATGTGAAACCTGTTTCTGTTGATGTTGATACTCCAAAGGAATATGTCTGTGGAGAGCGTGGGTGTGGAAAGGCCTTCAAGTATCCATCGAGATTGCGTAAGCACGAGAGTTCTCATGGTGAGTTGCTTATTTCGTGTGCAAGCTGGTTATATTTTTGGGTTTGATGAATCATGCATTCCTAATTCCTTGGAAGGTCATTATCTATAACAACAATATCCACCTTGGGGCATGTATGTTAAAACCGGTGGTGAAATGCCTTTAAAGTTTTTTAGGGCTTGTTTGTTTATAAATAAATTCACTCAAAATGAATTTTTTAAGTTAATCAGGGTTGATTTTTAAGAATGTGGTATTGTTAGTGGGATCTTAAGTTTATATTAAAATAAAATAATATTTAAAATAAAATAATTGAAGTTGATTTGAGGTAAAAACAAGAGAGAGATGATGTGATTTGGTGATTAGTTAAAGTTATGTGAGTGGATGAAAAGTGAATTAAAGTTGATGTGACGTGTAAGAATGATTGGTTTGTATTATTTAATTATATTGATAATATTAACGATACTGTGTTGAGTTAAAGTTGAGTTAGATTATAAGTATGAATTGAATGTGGAATAAAATATAAATATTTGCTAAACAAGCATGCCCTATGTATGCAATAGATGCCCATCTTTTGACTCTCTGGTAGAAATTTTGACTGAATGCAGTTAAGTTGGACTCAGTCGAAGCACTATGTGGAGAGCCCGGCTGTATGAAATATTTCAGTAATGTGCAGTGCCTTAAAGAGCATATTAGGTCATGTCATCAGTACATCAAATGCGATAAATGTGGCCAAAAGCAGCTGAAAAAGAACATTAAACGTCACATGCGCTTCCATGAGTCAGATATTTCCTCTGAGAGAATCAAATGCTGGGTCGAGGGATGTTCACTTATGTTTTCTAATGTAATATTTTCCTTCCATCCAAATTTCATTCTTCCTCTTTCCCTTTACTGGAAAGTTTTTTAATAATCGATCTCTGTGCAGACCTCAAATCTCAAGAAGCACGTCAAAGCTGTTCACTTAGAACTAAAACCATTTGCCTGCGGCATGCCTGGTTGTGGAATGAAATTTGCATATAAGCATGTGAGGAACAACCATGAAACTTCCCGGTCTCACGTCTATACTCCTGTAAGCTTATTTCCTGTCTTTGAAAATCTTCTTAACCATAATTTAGCAACCCTCCTCATATTTCTGGACTATGGCTACTATGGTTATTTAGGGAGATTTTGAGGAGTCGGATGAACAATTTAGGTCAATGCCAAGAGGTGGCCGGAAAAGGAAGTTCCCAGTTATCGAGACACTGTTGAGGAAAAGGGTTTTCCTGCCCAGTGAATCTGAACTTGATATGACCTCGACTGAGGAAAATGGTATGGTTAGTCCCATTATCTGCTGAATTCAGGAAGATGATGTAACTTGATCCTAGAAGGCTATAATTAGACTGTTATAGTTTCTAATATAATATAATATTAAGTATAGATGTTCACTTTTATAGATAAATTTGGAAAGTAATGCAAGTGATTATTCTGTAGTTATTTTTGCAGTGATTTTGATGTATTTTCTGGGAAA